AGCAACGGGAAGCCATGAAACAACAGACAGAGCAGGAATAAGGCAAAAGGGGCTTCAGCAGATACACTTTTAATTGTTCGCTGTTCTGTATTCAGGCTTCTCATTCACAGATTCCTCCTCGAACAGATGCAGAAATGACATTACAGGTCCTTCAGCGGACGCTTTTATCTCTCTTAACCCATGGCTTGCACAAAAAGGGGATGTGGCTTCATGACCGGGTCGAATCCAGAACCTTCCGATGGCTCTCAGAGTCCCGTGACCGAGGGTTAAACCTCGGGAAAAAAACCCAGAAACTTCGGATCTGGAGACTGTTGATATGCTTCCAAAATACCTGGAGCTGCTCCCAAATTCATTGCAAAAGACATTTTAGTTTCCTTTTTATAGTCATAAACACACGTAATTATGAGAATGCCCCAGTTTAATATTGAATGATTTCATTTAATTTTACTTTTTAAACTATCTGCATGATGTTGATTTAGTCAATTGTGGCAAAACACCCACGAACCAGCGTGATGGATGACTCGCTCTCATGTAGCCTGTGAGTACGCAGAACGTCATGGAGCGATACAATAAGAGACACAGGACTGTGCAGAACGTTGACTCGTATTACGTCAGAAGGTCCACTGGTGGTCAGTGTGTGTTCACTTTATTGAAAACACACTGATGATCTTGTTTCTTTCTAGAGAAATATTCGTTTATCTGAGTTCTCCTTTGGTTTGCAGAGACACAATGACGACAATCTGCCGACTGGGTTGAAAGACAAAGATCCCGAGTTTGATATTAAACACGATGAGTCACTGCCGGCTCAATATCTGGAAATGTCAACGGTTCAAGTCCGAGGTCCCGTGTCTCCGTGAAATTGTTTTATTTATTGCAGCTCATCTGTCCCCCTGTGTGTGTCTCCTGGTGAGTCACTCAGTGTCCTCTCTGTCTCTCTGTCTGTCTCACAGAGGCCTGGCGACCGATTGGCCGCCTCAGAGTGGCCTTCAGCCAACCACGGAGCAGCAGGCCGAGGTGGGACCAACAGAAAGACGCTGCGCGCTAACTCAAAGGTCTGGAAGGCCGTTCGTCCCGTCGCTCCACCGTGGGAGCAGCTGTCAGGCGGTTCGCTGGCTCGCGCCGGCGTCCGTCGAGTCAGATCATCAGAGAGAGAAGCTCTAAATGATCCTGAACCCCCCGAATGAATCCAGGCAGACACAAACATTGTGTTACCAGAGCAGGTAGTCAGAAGGAATCACGCAGTCCGTGACCTTTACCCCCTTTTGGTGACACCTTGTGTCCACGAGAGGTTTCCACTGCCTCTTTCCAGCTGATGCGGCCAGAGATGACCTTCATTCTCAGAGATGACCTCTAACATCTCCGTCCTTATTGGCATACGTCTATCAAATCAGTAGACCCGTAAAATCACCTCGATTACTGTGCACACAGTGATGCGTGCGCTTTGTTTGGGTCTCAGCGTGTCGATTTGCGTCGCTGCTTTGAGCCTTTAACAAACATGGCGGCATCTTTCTCTGCCGAATGGCCAAACTGGCGTACCTTTGTGTGCAGCTTGGCGATCTGCTTCTCGTCCACGTCGGGCTGCCCGTAGACTCGGCTCTTGTAGCGGAACTGTTGAATAGAAACGATGAGAAGGATTCACAGATTCTGATAACCTTCCTTCTCCGGGGACCAAGTCGTTCTATTACTAAACTTCTTGTAGTTTAGCCGGTTTATTGACTTGGAATATATATTTATAAAGTGACACAGAATTATAATGATGATTTGGGGCTCGGTCCTGAGCTCCGGTACGACACGATTTAGCGTTCCATGGGAACTGACATATTATTCTGGTATGTCACAGTCTTAACGTCCCGTGTCAGCCGACATTAGAACGAATAATAATGTGTGTGTGTTTACCTCCAGAGACGGGACGCCCTCGCTGATTGGCTGCGGGTACTCTCGGAGGATGCGCTCTTCATCCAGGAAGCGGCCGTCCCGCCCACCGCTGGCCGGCTGGAAAAGGCCGTAGTTGAGCACGTCTTTCAGGCCGGGGTTCAGCGTGCACAAGATCCGCTGCTTGGCAACCCAAACCGTCGCATCCGGGTTGAAGCGCAAGCATTTCTGTTTGGGCGAAGGGGGGCCGGGGGGGGGGGCAGGGGGGCCGGGGGCATGAGTTCTCTCTGACAGCCGGACACAAATTTAAACAAATGAAACATTTCTCCCAAACAGTGAACCAGACTTTTGATTGACGGCCGCTGAACGTCTCCGAGTCTTAATACTGAAACGCGGCATGGTGTGATTGTGAGGACGCCGCGACCCCCCCTCGGCCCCACTGGCCTCCTCCCAGTGAATTAAAAAGCTCACACAATGCCGGCTCTCGGAATCGGAGGGGATTACGTGCCGCCGTCGCCGCGGCGGCGCCCGCGGAGGGGAGAGGGGAGGGGGGGGGGGACGGTGATAAAGGCTGACGAGCAGTCTGTGAACTCTGCCTACCCATAATCCTCTCGCCTGGCGAGGGAGCGGGCCGAGAGGAGATGAAGATGAAGGGTTGAAGGTGCAGAAGCAGATGTCTGGCGTCTGGTGCGGACCGGTTCAGACCGGTTCGGACCGGTTTGGCCCGGTTCAGACCGGTTTGGCCGTCCTTTACTCTGGTTTATTACCAGTTTAACTCAAAACAATATGGAGGAAGTTTACTTCGTTGCACCTTCGTCACATTTAGTTTTCTGTTACAGAATGCGAGCACATGTCCATTGTGAGAGTATTACAGCTGAAATAAGAACTAGTGTGAATGGTTGAGTTCATGTTGTTGTGCACATGAAACATGGGAAGACGATAAAGCAGAGCTCTGCTTTGGGGGGGTTCAGGGACATTGGTGGTGTTTTTCTAACTGGCCGTTACAGAGAGAGAGAAAGCGACTTATGACGGTTTCACAGGAAAAACAAAAGACGAGTGCGATAAGGTGACACACACAACGTGTGGTTGGCTGACAGAAGCAACGAGACAAACTGTGATTCTGACTCTGGAGAGCTGCAATATTGGCAAAGAGGTATGAAGAGAATCCAACAAAGACCAAACCAAAGGAGGTATGGAGATAAATACACAGAGTTTGATGCAATGATATATATATATATATATATATATATATATATATATATATATATATATATATATATATATATATATATATATACATATGTGTGTGTGTGTGTTTTGATTAACATATGTGAGGCAATGAGGAGTGAGCTGTACTTTCTATGTGACACGTCAGATGTTCACACTTCATGTTCCATTGAGTACAGCTGAAAGCTGAAGATGGAGTCACATGCACCTTGGAATTATTCCACCGAGTCTGATTGGCCCGTTTGACTCCACGAGGCGCTCTGTGATAAACGTGGAATCAGCAGCATTGGTGCATTCATGTCACACACACACACACACACACACACACACACACACACACACACACACACACACACACACACACACTCCTGCAGAAGGAAGGAGCTCCAGCTGATTACATCAAAGCGTCACGGGCTCCCTCTGAGGATCCGTGGGGGGCCGTGCATTCGTTAACAGCCTCATTATGACGCCACACACACACACAAGTGGAATGAAATGTAACACGAGGCACAACACACAAACTGCAGATACATGAATACGTCATGGCGGGAGGCCGTTTACCTTATTAACGCACGAGGCACTTAAATGCACTACATCTCCGTCATTGGTTTAGAAGTGGTGTGACTGGTGTTTATTTTCTTTTGACCTTAATTAACCTGCAGAGACGAAGGCAGAGATCCCTGAACCCCCGAGTCTGCTTCCACGAGGAAGCTCGTGGATTACCAGCGTGACTTTGTATGATTCCCTGATTCTGTCCAGTGTTCAGAACCCCCTCAAACACACACACACACACACATCCTTCATATTTCAGTCATTCACTCACTGACCACCATGTCTGTGTCTCACAGGTGCTTTTTGTATTCATTTGGGGTATTTTTTATTTAATTCTCTTTACGTATCCATGATTATTTTTCATACTTGTTCATTTTAGAGACGCTTCCACTACAGTTAATGTTAATGTGGTAAAGAGCGCACATTGAAAATATGTCATTTTTGGAATTAGTTTAACAATATAATTGACATTTTACTTTAAATTGTGCAGTATCTCCCAAGTGAAGCTTTTATGATTACACCGTTTTGCTGAGAGGAGGCTGGTGTGAGCGGCCGCAGTGCTCTCTGATTGGCTCGGAAAGGGAAGCGTGTTGTTCAGACACAAGAGGAAGCGATGAAGACGAGTTGTAAGATGAAAGGTTATGGTGACAGCATCTCTACCATCGCATCGAGAATAGACGTCTGATGGATGTTGTGATCCGAGGCCTTTATCTTTAGCTCCTTGCATCTTTTTAGCCTCTTTTCTGACAGATCACATGATACAAGTTGTTTTTGTTTCCATCAGTCTCTCTGTGGAAAACAAACTCTGGGTCTTTTGGACTAATTACGGCGTACAGCTGTGTTCATGCAACAGTCTCAGCGTGGTCCATGTTTGGACTTCGTCCCTCACCGTCTGCTGCAGGTCCGGGACGAGGACCCGGACGACCAGCGAGTTGGCGTGTACGTCGTCCATGGGGCCGGCGGGGGGCTCGGCGGTGGCCCTTATGGTCTCGTAGATGGTCTCTTCGCGGGAGCTGTCGGAGGCGCAGTCGTCGGAGTAGTCGGAGAAGCTCTGGGCCATCTCATCCTCGCTGGAGGTGGGGCTCCGGGGCATAGCCGGCAGGCCCGGCGGATTCAGCTGGCCGACAGAGGGAGGAAGGAGTCAAAGGTCATGAACTCAAAAACATCTCCCGGAAGTATCAGCTGTTGCCGTTGGTTCTTATCTCCACAGATGGCTTCATGCTGCCTCCTCATCAGAACAACACCTTCTCCTGCTGAAATAAACTCACCAAATCTTTATTTTTGCTCATTTCAACTTGACCTCCCTGCTGAGGACTTCATGCTGACGGTTGCCAACGTTCTATTCCATGTTTTTCCGATCAGCATGTGGCCACACGTTTACACACATTACACACGTTCTGGTACTACAGTGTGTGTGTGTGTGTGTGTGTGTGTGTGTGTGTGCATATACTGAAAGTGCTTGTTGGCTTGGAATCATTTGATTCACGTTTTCCTTTGAGCTCACGTATGAACACGCTGGTATCTGGTATCCATGGCGACCAAGCCACCACTGAGAAGCTCCAGATGTTTATTCACACACACTTGGCACAGAACCACTGGTTATTGGAGCATAACGTAGTTATTAGCAGAATGTCTCCGCTGGTGTCCAGCTTATATTCATCATATTTTCTGCTCTATTATAATCACACACTGAAAAGAGTTAAAACTGAGTCCTGCGTTGGTCCACGTGTGTATGAAGGTGTGTGTATACATGTATGCAACCTTTAACATAACTAGAGCCCTCGCGCTGTAGTGTAGAGACCAGACCCCAACACGCCAGACGCCCTGCACGTATGTCATCATCGTCATCATCATCGTCATCGTCATCATCATCATCATCATCATCACACAGCACTGAAGTGAGCTGCTTTACGAGCTGTGGATGGGGAACCGTGGAGCCACTTCTCACAGACGTGGAAAAGACAAAGATGCAGATGATTCCCTGATGTCACACAAGGTGGAAACTGTCACCTGATTAGCATGCTAATGAATTCATCCACAATCCCCCCTCAAACACACAAGAGACATGCCCGAAGACTCGTTAGTGGAAAATCATAAGTGGCTATAATTACATAATCATAATTTAATAAACATTTCTTAAGAGTAAAGCTTCAAAAGTAATTACGTTGTTTTTTCTGCTCGTTAAGTCAATGAACCATTTAAATGTTACTCTGGTTGAACAGTGAAGAACTTTATTCAGTAGTTTTAAGAATAAGAAAAACCTAAAGAGTCAATAACTGAAGTGTTGAAGATGTGACACATTAATATAAATAACTGCCAGAGCGGACCAGACCTGTCAATCAGCGTGTAGCCCCGCCCCCAAAGCGTCCAATGCTTTGTGGTCTGTTTGACTCTGAATGGACCATAATTCACTAAATGAACATCATGTTGTGTTGAAGAAGACTTGAAACTAGAGACTGAGACATAAACTCATGTTTACAATGTTTACTGAGGGAATAAATCAAGAGAGAATTTCCCCATAGACGTCTATGGGAGCAGAGGAGTCGCCCCCTGCTGGTCACTACGCAGAATGCAGCTTTAAAGCACTGATGGAACTTTGACCTGGAGATCGCCGCCTACTTGTCACCTAAATGAGAAGAGCCAGTCCAGCTTTAGTGGGCATGAGCTGAAGGTTCACTCTGGTGTTAATGAGGAGGAGACTGTCTTCACGTGTCCGCGATGCCGAAGGAGACAAATGATGGATGTAACCTAGCCAGCGTTTCTGCTAGCTGCTACAGATGAGCCTCATTAGCGCGGCTCTGACATCCGGTCGGGTTTCTTCAAATGTGGGAAAAACTGTCACATCAGCGCAGCTTCAGCAGGGCTGACGTTCTCCTTCTGGCTTCAAATGGCTCCACTTTCTCAGGCTGCTTTTGTGAACACAAAGGTGTGATAGCGTGAAGGTGTGTGTGAGACCGAGGAGGAGGAGGAGGAGGAGAGGTTGTCAGGTTTTTTTCATCACCTTCCACACACACACACACACACACACACAGAGCGGATCCATTGTAGGCGCTTTTTTCATTATTCAGTTGTGTAATTGAAAATGTGAAAATAGGCTATCAGAGACTTTATGAGTCTCTGCAGAGACTCAGTGATGGACACAGACTTTACTCTTAGCGTGAGTCGTGAACGTCCGTGACAGGAGGTCAGCAAAGCCCACCAGAGCAGAATGAATCCATTCAATCATCTTCTTAAATCCACACAAACGCCGTCTATGGGAGCAGAGGAGTCGCCCCCTGCTGGTCACTACAGAGAAGTAGAGTCATTTCCTCATAGACGTCTATGGGAGCAGAGGAGTCGCCCCCTGCTGGTCACTACAGAGAAGTAGAGTCATTTCCTCATAGACGTCTATGGGAGCAGAGGAGTCGCCCCCTGCTGGTCACTACAGAGAAGTAGAGTCATTTCCTCATAGACGTCTATGGGAGCAGAGGAGTCGCCCCCTGCTGGTCACTACACAGAATGCAGCTTTAAAAACGCACTTTAAAGCGCGAGAGGTTGATTTCTGACGTGAGCAAGAAAATAAGTAAACTATTCATATTCATGATCCATGTAAACAGCTTATTAGGAATATCATATTTTTCAGAATAAGAGCAGTAAACTATTGAGCAGTCAGTGCTAATCTGAAGCTAAACTAATCTGACAGACTGAGCCTCTTTTATCCTTCTTTTATTGCTTTAAAGCCTACAAAGGATTCTACTTTATCACAGATGACGGAGTCAGAATCAAACACACTCGGCCTTGAGGTCTGGACCTGGTCGGCTTCACTTATCGTGGATGTAACTTTAATGATACTTCACCTGTCAGCGTGTCAAGAATCAAAAGCTGCACGAACCCGCAAAGAGAAACCCAGAGAAGAACTGCTTCCTTTCATACAGACCATCACGTCACGTCACGTGAACAGTGTGTTTGATGAGACGAGCATCTGACGTCTGGACTGAAGACAAATGAAGAAGCGGGAGGAGCTTTCATCATGTGTGACAGTTCAGAGGTATCAGATTATAATCTGTAGAGTCAGAGATACTTTGTTTTCACTTCATTGAACCAAAGATGGAAAATACCATCAAACCACTATGAAGATTATTCTATAAGTACCAACGTAATTATTACAAGTCATTGACATCAGTACACGGTAACGTAGTGAAGTACATGAATGTTAAATATCACCAGTCAGCAGAAGAAGAACCTTCTGCTTCCAATAAACAAACTTACATCTAATGATCACTTCTGGGCATTTGTACACTTAGATTTGAGTGACAGCTGCAGGTGACGTTAATGTGTTATCTCACCCTCCAAATGCCAGTGAGCATTTCAAAGTGTAAATTGGTATTTGGACTCTTGTGTTTTTGCACTTTCTTTGTGCTTGTTTTGAAATGAAGCGCAGCTCCAACCGCCTTAAACTCTCTATTTCCTGATGCAGGACGGCTGATGTGTGACTATTTGTTTGTCCTTTATTTGCACTTTTAAACGTAATCATACTTTTCCAATAGCTGTAATTACTAGAAGCGGACCACAGAAACAGAAGGTTGCATTCAGGTTCCCTCCGTCCCCGCAACGCTTGTGCGTCCCCTCGTCGTAAAGGTCACCTCCGCAGCCTTTTAACCCTTTCACAGCGAGGGTGGGGGGGGGGGGTTAAAACCCCGTTGCCATAGCAACAGATGTCGTAGGAGGGGGAGGAGCTGAGTTATCTCATCCTAAAAGAAAATAAAAAGAAACGGCTTCCCGGGACGCAGCGTCTCAGGACGGTTTCCACGGCGACGGCTGAGTTAAAGGGACCTTTAACGAGGGGCTCTTTAAAGAAACGAGGCCCTGCTCACTCCTTTAACACGTCCGTTTGCTTTGCATCGTGGGTTTTTGTGTCTCACTTCTGCCAAAGTTTGCTTTTAAAAGTGTGAAATAATTCCTGATGAGAAGAAGAGAACATAATGGTGTGAATAAAACACTTAAGTATTCAGAAATGTATGTTATCAGCTGATGAAGGCGGTGTTGTTGCTTCTTTTATCTTCATTAAGAAGGTTGAAGTGCTTTCTTACGGTGAAGCATCTTGCTGATAAAAGCACAAGTTTGTCATATTTCATTTTCCTTTTACAAAACACAGTTCCAACTTGTTTTAGATTTACTCAGTAGGATATAGAAATATCCACATGGGTTTATGTATAAATGTATATTTGTCACACGGTTGCTCATCTTCTCTACTAGAGGTTGATAATCCTGGTTAGAATATTAATAATGTTCCACGACATCGTGGAGGATTTACAGAAAACAGAATGATTATTTTATTATTGTTATCCGCCTCGTTATCAGCCTCCATTGTTCCGCTGATCAGCCTTCTGATTGGACAGAATGAGAGACGCAGCAGGAAACCCTGGAGACACAATCTGTACACAACAATGACGGACATGTTCATGACACACGGAGGTGCAGACTGGGAGCCACAAACGGCCGCAATAAACTCGCCGAATCCAATGCGAGACAAAGCGAAGGAGACGCGTCAGGTCCCTTTGTGACCGGCGTCCTCTTTTGTGGTCAGCTGACCTCGCAAACCGAGGAATGTGGGGAGGGACTAAAGAGGGAGCGCAGACACACAAACGCACACACACACACGTTTCCTGTCCTGCAAACAACAGGCGTGGATGCTGAGCCGAACACGCTATACTCATATACAACTATAACTCATACTAACTCATTTTGTTCTATAAATTGTTGTATTTGTATTTCAGCTGCTTCCTCGAGCTCTGAGGAAAGTCCATATTCAGTCCGTGCAGCACCTGCAGGCCTGGATTCAATGAACCAGCTTCGGTTCCTCCTGCGGGCCGAGGAGAGAACGCAGGTCTGAGGCCCTTTGGCTTCACTTCTCATTATCGAATGTGACTAAAGGGCAATTACGGCAAAAAAGAGGAGAGCGAAGAAGAGATGATGAGTCTGTGGCCATCAGAGAGGGACGTTCAGATCTCAACCCAAATAGTTCCACAAACGTCAGCAAACGTCAACCATGAGGAAGACCAACCAGACAGCGTGATGCGTTTACGTAGAGCTCAGGTGCCGTTGAGCTCCTTCATTATAACGCACTTCATAATGATC